TTATTATAGACACCAAATGTCTAAAAGAGTATGTATTTATTATAGATACCAAGTGGTCTAAAAGAGTATGTATTTATTATAGATACCAAGTGTTCTAAAAGAGTATGTATTTATTATAGATACCAAATGTTCTAAAAGAGTATATATTTATTATAGACACCAAGTGTTCTAAAAGAGTATGTATTTATTATAGATACCAAGTGTTCTAAAAGAGTATGTATTTATTTTAGATACCAAGTGTTCTAAAAGAGTATGTATTTATTATAGATACCAAGTGTTCTAAAAGAGTATGTATTTATTATAGATACCAAGTGTTCTAAAAGAGTATGTATTTATTATAGATACCAAGTGTTCTAAAAGAGTATGTATTTATCATAGATACCAAGTGGTCTAAAAGAGTATGGATTTATTAAAGATACCGAGTGTTCTAAAAGAGTATGTATTTATTATAGATACCAAGTGGTCTAACAGAGTATGTATTTATTATAGATACCAAGTGTTCTAAAAGAGTATGTATTTATTATAGATACCAGGTGTTCTAAAAGAGTATGTATTTATTATAGATACCAAGTGTTCTAAAAGAGTATGTATTTATTATAGATACCAAGTGTTCTAAAAGAGTATGTATTTATTATAGATACCAAGTGTTCTAAAAGAGTATATATTTATTATAGATACCAAGTGTTCTAAAAGAGTATGTATTTATTATAGATACCAGGTGTTCTAAAAGAGTATGTATTTATTATAGATACCAAGTGTTCTAAAAGAGTATGTATTTATTATAGATACCGAGTGTTCTAAAAGAGTATGTATTTATTATAGATACCAAGTGTTCTAAAAGAGTATGTATTTAGTGATTTATCTCTACATGATGGTAGTAAATACAGGGTAAAGGTTATCGGTTGTAATTTAGCGGGATTATGTACATTTTCTGTATCGGATGATATATTAGTTGATACAACACCTCCGACTAGAGGTAAGTCAAACAATATTCACATTTTAAAGGAATGCACGTACGTACGTACTTGGAGAATATAAAGCATGAAACAAATCCCTTATGAATGTAATGGGTATGGAGAATCTCACGGTAGCAAACGTTATCCTTTGAATTTCAGGAACATTTGCAATGGAATCGAACCATGCTGCCAATGTAATCAGACATCCCGGTAGATGGATCGAATGGAACACAACATCATTGACTATAGCTTGGCTAGGATTTTCAGATCTTCATAGTGGTGTACAGTATTATCTTGTATCTGTTGGTACCAAACCATTTTATACTGATTTAAATAAGGTGTGTGAGTCTCACATATTAATGCCGATTTCATAATCATAATGTACTTTTTATCCTCTTTTTAACGATGTATGTCATGATTGGTTTTAAAAAAAATTCGAATAAAGGTCAAATTACGTCGTCAATTGTCTAACAAACGATTCACTGCAAAACCTTTTGTCCACTACAAAATAACAGGACATTCAAACAAAACGGATATTTTCCTTCGACCGGATAATTAAAGTTTTTAACTAGTTATATTATACTTGATGGTTCCCAGTATCTAAATGATTTGATATTGTATGTGATAGGATGGTAAAACTGTGAAATATTTCCATGAGGATGGTATATTATTTGAAAATGAAGGAGAATTACAAATTAAAACAGTTGAAACAGCAGGAAATCTTGTCCATGGAATGTCTGTTTTTATATCTATTGTAGCTGTTAATGGGGTAGGTAAAATCAAATCTCACAATAATATGTTTTATTACAGCTTTCCAAGTGATCTCGAAACTGCATTGTCTTCATTAATTTTTTAGATATTATTTTAAAAAGAAATTGTTGCTAAGTCATTTTTCTTTAGCATCTTCTTTGGTAAGATTGTCATGTCATACCTCGATCCTTTATATTTGGTACATTACTTTTGGTTTTGTACGGCTCTGAAAAGGGGTAAGTTGCATATTTTCGTATCTTCACATGAATTTGGACCCTTTCATCATTTAGTTTGATGTCATTGTATTGGACTTGTCAAACTAGACAATTTCTTTATCATGCAGTTTATTCTATTGCAGGTAGGACTCAAGAGTCAACCAATTCACAATGAATTTCAACTAGTACGTGCTGACCTCAGAACAAACAATAATGGTTCATTGGTGAGAAGATGTCGGCCATATAACTGTGAAGGTCACTGTGTTTGTAGTGAACAAGATAGAACATGTTCTTTACCAGATGGTTGTATAACAAATGGTATGAAAAAATATTGCTTTCATTTTTTATACGCCCACATGAAATGGGGGGAGAATATTGTCGTCACCCATGTCCGTCCGTCCGTCTTGACTGATTTCGACGAAACTTGGTATGGTTGTTTGTAATCAGCCAAGGATGAAATCTATTGAAAATCAGAAAAATCGAAAAATATTTAGTATGAGTTATTGCCCTTGTTCATAAAACGCTCGAAGGCACAATTCTTGACGGATTTGACGAAATCTGGTGTGAGTGTTTGTAATCACCCAAGGATAAACCCTATCAAAAATCAGAAAAATATTAAGTATGAGTTGTTGCCCTTGTTCTTGAATACGCGTGCAATTTTAAGCTCGTAAACACTCCAGAAGGCACAAATCTTGACGGATTTAGATGAAACGTGGTATGAGTGTTAGTGGTCACCCAATGATGAACCCTATTAAAAATCAGAATAATCGAAATATAATTAGTATGAGTTATTGCCCTTGATCTTGAAAACACGTTCAATTTTTTGGCCGTAAACGCTCTAGACGGTCCAATTATTGACAGATTGTGATGAAACTTGGCGTGAGTGTATGTTATCATCTAAAGTTTAACCCTAACGATAATAGGAAAAATCGAAAGATATTATTGCCCTTGTTCTTAAAAACGCTTTCAAGTTTTAGCCTGTAAACACTCTAGAAGGCCAAATTGTTGACAGATTTTGATGAAACTTGGTAATATTATTCAGTATTGTCTCAAAAAGTTTAAAAACAAGTCAACTTCAACAACTTGTGATCACCTTTGACTGTGTATACACCAA